AGACCCTAAACCCCAATAAAACCACATTTTTTCGGCAGAAAGCCCTTCCAGGACTCTTCACTGAAGCAGAAGGCTGCTAAGAGGGCTTCCGGAACCCCAACACGCCCCAAAAATGGGTTTATGGGTTTAGGGCTTAGGGTGTAGGGTGGGAATGAAGGAATGAAAAAGAAAATGGAAACTACTACAATGGGTTACTGTACACAGGGACCACTACAAGGATCCGTTTCTTCATTCCTACTAACCGAAGGCCAGAACAAGGATTATGTAGTAGTTGTTGCCTCAATCCAATATTCTGGTCCCAGATTCTCTGTATAGAGTAACCTCAAGATGCAAAAGCACCTCAAGATTCAAGATGTTCTTGACACTCCTCTAGGCCCCAACACGTCCGGCGAACAGGGATTGTATAGGGTTTAGATTTCGTAAGAAGCAGAATCGTCTTGTAAAAGGCTACGGTGCGGCATCATGGTTCGAATCCCTGGGCACAAGCCCCCGACGAGTCTGGGTTCGGCTTGGATATCATTTTACATGTTTTAGGGGTTTAGGGCTAAAACCCTAGACCCTAGTCTAGGGTCTAGGGTTTAGGGTCAAGGCAGTAGAGAGTGAACACGAGCATGGTTACCTTCCCCCCAAACAACATGGAAGCCCAAAAGAGCTCCTATCAAGACTACGCATCATCTCAAAGGATGGTTCAGGGAGCTCCATGCTCTTTTGGGAGAGGGTATAGTCCCCTTAAGTAGATAGATTATGGGATATATGGGGATCTTATTGTAATAGACCCAAAGCCATATTCCATCTACTTAAGGGGGACTAATCGCGCCTCGTTTCCCAGGAGTGCTCACAATGAAGCTGACCGCTCTAATCCGGGACTTGCTGGAGACTGCTACCCCGTTGTTCACTACAGTGTCCGAGGAGGAGTTTCATAAGGGTCCAAGTATCCATGTGGGAGAACCTTCAAGTGCACCTGGGTTTTCATATGCATGTGCTGAGCTTCAGGCCTAAATTGTTCATTTGGGTAGTCCTTGCCCCGATTTAGTTCACGTCGCCCCATAGAATACTAATAAATGCGGAGGCCGAAAATCCGAGAAGACTTTCAGTAGAACGCGAGGGGACTAGTGCAAAAAGGTGCCCATGAGTGGGAGAGGCATTGACAACGAGTCGTGAGTAGTCTTTATACGCAATCTCAAGAGTTCAGAGATCTCCTTTATTGCTTTAACAAGTTTACCATAAAAGAACTGCAGGCCAAACTAGCTGGAAGTCGGAGTTCCTTCGTGTCCTAGACGTACTGTTTTTGTCGAGTTTTTGGCATAGAAGAGCCTATGCAAAAGAGATGAGCACTAATTGGAATTATGGATGCCCTTAATTTTATCAAACTGAAGTCGTTCAACAAGTCTCCGCCAATAATCAACCCTCTTACTGGCTGGTACGGATTCATTGTTTAGTTATAGGCTGCTGTTATTTGGTGAAGGGATTTTTGGACCCTGAGGACTTCGGAAAGAGCCACAACCAGATGATGCGACACATCAAAGAGCCAATGACGGAGGCGCTACGTTTCTTAAAGTTGCTTTGGGTTTTACCCTGACCCTGGCTGTCCTACCTTTTTTGGGGACATGCTCTACAAAAATGTAGGGCCCTAGACACAAGAACCTAAAAAGGAAGGACACCCTGGGTCCAGGGAACTTAACGTTTCGGGTTGGTGAATATGAGAAATAGTCTAAACTCCTAGTATCCCCCTTAAAACTTCCCTATAGTAGTCCCTTATATAAGCTCCCATATAACCCGTTTAAGGAGTTTAGACTCCAGCTGATGTTTTGGGGGGTATTCAGTGCGCGGAGCCCAGATGCAACAGAAGGGTAGCAAGGTTAAGGCTTCTGGACTCTTAAAGTTGATGGCGTAGGAGTTGTTTTCTGAGGTGGGCTTCCGCATATTTTCTAAACCTAGTGCATGCGCTGGCACCCCTACCCTGAACCCACTGGCCGCTGGGATGCGAAGAAGCTCACAGGTCGTTCACAGTACCATGAGCATGGTGGAGATGCTGATCGGTGCCTGCGAGGATGGAAAAGTGAGCAAGAAGCTGGGAACGCGTAGATTCAGGGTGTTTTCCTTTGTACCCTTAGGGTTTGTACCCTTGGGTTTTGGGTCCCTAAACTATGGAATATGACCCTCAATAAGGGTATTTGGGACCCAAAACTTCGGGGTACAAACATTAAGGGTACAAACTTAAAGTCACGCATTAGGGTTTAGGGTTTAGGGTTTAGGGTTTAGGACATGCATCTCCCAACCCCAAACCCTAAACGCTAAACCCTTAGTTTTTCAGACCGATATCTCCCGCCTCTATACCCTAAACCATCCTGAGCCCTGAGCCAAAACCTGCAGAAGCCTCCAAGAAGGCTAGGTAGGGAACAACTCAGCCATAACCGGGTAATTTGGTGTTTAGAGATCAGGTAATACATAGTACGTGCTCACCCGATAGTTCCCATATTATAGATAACACGTGTTTTCCGTAGTATGTTTACCTGAGAAAAAAAACATACAGACCCACAAGACCAAGAAAGCTAAAAGCTCTAGACCCTATAAACTTTAAACCCTTTGACCCTAAACCCCAATCCCTAAACCCTAAAACCCTAAGCCTTAATCCCGCACTTAGGAAAGAGAAGGCGGAACTAAAGGCCGAAGTGGATGCCATTCCAGCAAAGGTCCAGCCTGCCAAACAGCGGGATTAGGGTTTAGGTTTAGCGTGTGGGGTTTAAGGTTTAGGGGTTTAGGGGTTTTAGCAGGGAGTAAGGAGTGTAAGTTTGAGGGTTTAGAGGGTTTGAAGTTAGAAGGTTTACGTATATGGCTCGTTGAACCCCGGTCTCTCTTCTCTTCCGATGTTTTTCTTCGGGATTTGGGTGAACCCGCTGATGCTTGTAAGTGGCTTGCTATAAGTATGCTTCTCTAATTCCCGTATAGGGTTTTCATAATTTCGGCGCCCCAACAGATATCCCAACAAGTTGGGGAGCTCCCAAGAAGGGACCCAAAACGTTCGGAAAGCCTCAGCCCGCCAAACCCTCATATACCGATGTGGTAGTGTCAGGACCCCAAAAATCTTATTATCCTTAATCCAGGGACACCCCAAAAAGGTACCCCTAATTTTGGGAACCTGCACCCCCGATGTCACAGTGAGTCAAAGGTCGAGCTGCTGCAGAAGCACGTGCAAAAGGCCACAGCAGAGTTCGGAGCCAACAAGATCCAGCAAGAGGCGTAGGGTTTAGAGTTTAGGAGCTTAGGGGTTTAGTGGTTTACGGTTTAGGACTTAGAGTTTAGGGTTTTGGGTTCAGGGAGTGGCGATCTGAAATCGAAAACCCTGAACCTAGCACAAAAATCCCTAAACCTAGAGACCAGGATACGCAACACTCAGCATTTAAGGATTTAGGGCTAAGTCTCGCCAATCTAACTTAGGGTTTATGGCAGAAGTCTTCTCAAATCTCATCTTGGCGTTGGCATGTTCCTTTGGAGTAATATAGGGGCCGAAATAATTACCAATATTAGGGTTTAGGGTTTAGGGGCCTAAATACATATCAATATTATGGTTTCATACTCCTTGTATAGTTATAGTATATGGTACCTCAAATGGGCCTCAACATGATATTGGTAATTTTTTACCCCCCTGTAGTAGTGCGCCTGTGTGCCCAGGTCGCGAAAGGTCACTCTAGTAGACGTAGAGTTTCGGGTCAAGGGAGGGTTTAGGAGTGAGAGTTTCACCCTAAACTCTAAACCAGGAGGTAGAGTTTCCCTGAAAACCAGACCCTCGAAGAGGCGGAATCCCTAAACCCTAACCCCTAAACCCTATAGTCCCCCTTAAGTAGATAGAACATGGGATATACGGGGATCTACAATACGCCCAAAACCATATTCCATCTACTTAAGGGGGACTAGAACAAGTTGCAGTGTGTCGAGGTGCTTGGGGAGCATTACGTTGTGTTGACCATCTGCTACTTGGCCCAGCTTGTCAAGGACCAGTCTGAGTTCTTCCTGCAGTTCAAAGGACGTGCAGGGATCATGGACGAAACTGGGTTGCTGTTTAGGGTCTAGGGTTTATGGATGAAACTGGGTTGCTGTATAGGAACTACAATAAGGAAATCCAATTATTTACTACATATCCGTAGTGTGGTAATTTAATCCCTGAACCCTACACCGTAGAAACCTATATTGTGGCCAACTCAGGAAATGACTTCCACGTTCAGCGGCCTCCTCGCGTATGACGAGGGTGACTTGATGCAGGGGGTCGATTTTTCCGGGTTTAAGGTGTAGGGCTTAGGGTTCAGAGTTGACGGGGACGCCTATGAAAGAGACAATGTCGTACAACGTTGCGTATGAATTTTTTTGCCTTACCTTGGGCCTCGCGCACTAATGGTGACGGCAAAAGGTGACTGATAGCAAGGTCCGTACACATTTTATAGCGCTAGTACTTGGTGGGGTTTGCCGTGCACGCAACGGGGTACGGCTCATTCCCCCCAGGTTCAATTTCCAAGACGAGCAGTCCTGAAAACTCACCCCACATAGCTCCCACAGTACCATTACAAACACCCTAGAGTGAAAACAATCATGCATCTTAAGTCCTAAGCCAGTCACCCCTGAATCTCAACAAATAAAAAGGCCCTGGACTCCCCAACCTCAACCTTCAACCCCAAGCTCGTTTAGGGTTTGAGGTTTAGGCCTTAATGAACCTGAATGATCTCCAATGAACTCCCAAACAAGGCCTCAATTTGTGAGGTCCCCTGTACTCCGGGGTCTGTCATTATGCCGGTATCCCTAAACTCTAAACCTTATATCCTATCTAGACCCCCCCAAGTACCATCCATAGAGCCCAAATAGCCACACATAGATCTTACATAGATCCCTTTAAGGGGTCTTTGGGGACTCCGGATAAACTTTCAATCCACAGGTGGGCGGTGAGATCGTCTCTGTGTCTTATCACGAATTTCCTCATCGGCTGGCATGGCTGGTGCGAATGGAAATCCATGCAGGAAAAGTACAGTTTAGGGTACGGGGATAGGGGGGTCGTGTATGTATGTATCTATGTATGTACGTACGTATGTATGCATGTATGTATGTATGTAATACATATGCATAAATAGAAAAATATTTAGGGAGTATGAAGGAATTCTGCGAATCCCTGTTGAGGGTTCTATGGTATCATAGCGGCAATTGAAACTATGTTTGGCTTTGGGGTGCTGGCAGCGCTATAGTAGGAAGTCCTTCGAAGGATTACCAAAGACTGAATAGGGGCTTCCCCGGAAGCTAGGGAGATAAGGGGATTATCACGGGATGGAAATGGTAGCATGGAACTGCAAAGACACTTCTTTTAGAAGGGCCCTAATCTTCATAGGCCCCTTTTGGGCAACATGAACCGCCCCAAATTGTTGGTGGTTCCATGTTAGGTTGGGGCAGGGTAGTGGGTCCATCATGAGGAGCATGCATGGAGAAACTTCCTGAAGCGTTCCACTTCCCCTCAAAAGACATGCGAAACAGGGGCACCCCTTTGGATGGTTTGCCATCTGGTCATTGCCCTACATGGGGGCGCCCTCACTAGAGGGACCCGCCCTCCCCACCTCCCCACCCCCCCAAAAAAAAAGAAGGTGCCCGTAATTCGGGGAAGTCCCTATGTGAGGACTACAAGCTGGACCCCACTGGACCAGCACCAGAATGCTTCATCAACCAATTTACGTCGGGTCTGGCGAGCATCAACGTGGCCTGGCTGAGCTTCAGTATCACTCGGGATGTAAGTCTACACAAAAGAAATCACGTCCGGCCCTATAATCTATGAAGAGTATCTCCTTTGGGCAGGTTGGACCTATGGTCTTAGCACCACCATTTGGCCTGGCGGTTCTTTTAATATCGGGCTAAAAGTCAAGTATAGCCAGGCAAGAATACCTTGAATCTGAAACCTTAAATCCTAAACCCTAACCCTACGGATCCAAGTATACGAATAATACTTACACTCACTGGGCCCGACAAATTGTTACACATTCAGCTTTCTGGATCCTCAGGATAAATTCTACACCCCAAAACCTAAGCCCTAATCCAGCTAAAGATGCAATGAAGGTGATTCTGCTGTCATGCTAAAGTGCTAAGGCCTAAGCTGTTTCCCTAGAACGTAAACTAACCCCTAAACCCTGAACCCTAACCCTAAGCCTCAAAGAGCAGTGGAGGTGATTCTGCTGTCGCGTTACAGTGGCGGTACTCTTAAGGCGGCTCTGGAGCGCGTGGCTGCGGTGGTCTTCTCTTCCGTTGTGGGTCAAATTGGTTACGTGGCGCTCGGATGGTGTGACGACACCGCCAGGGTGCTAACAGTGATCAGCGTCGTCTTTGTAACGTGGGCCTTCATGTACCTTGCTTGAACTGAAGCCCTAAACCCTAAACCCTTTGCCGGGGGGACCTCTTTTAGCAAGAGGGGCCCTATAGAACTCCTGGCTACCCATGGTTCTGGCCTTGGATAATCCAAAGTAAAGGGGGAATTAAACGACACACTTTGCGGATGAGGGTTTAGGGCTTAGGGTTCAGGGTTTAGGATTTAGGGAGCCCGGATGCAACAAAAAAAAAAAGGATTTAGGGTTTGGGGTTCAGGGTTTAGGGATTGGGGTGTAGGATGGTGGGGATTAAAGAAGCGCGGGTTAAGAAGCGCCCGAGGTACTTGAAAAACGATGGAAGCCCGGATGTCCAGGCCATCGCGCAGAGGTTGGCGGCGATCACGGTCTCAAGTCACCTGGGTTGGTCACTAGGGGTTTGGGGTTTGAGGTTTAGGGTTTAGGGTTCTGGGTTAGGGGATTAAGGTGGCTGGGCTTAGGGTTTAGGGGGTTACAGTTTGCATGAACTGTTTCCCCCCCAACCAGTTAACCCAAGGGATAATGCCATTAATGTGAGCACCGTTTTTACACAATTTTACGACTTCCCCCCTTACAGCAACTGTTTTGCAGTTGTAGCAGTATGTTATGCCCAGTGAGGCTCCTACATGACTAACACTGCTACAGGGTAGGGTGGGATGTCCCAGGCTCGTGCATTTTCATGGGCCTGAACCCTAACCCACTTGGATGGTCTGTAGGCAGTCTACCGACAATCCCCAAAAGCCCCGATTTTGAAGCCCATACTTGCTATTATTAAGTGAAGTCCAGAGAGACTCCAAGTAAACTCGAGGTCTTATGGGCGTTTGCTCGAACGAGTCTGGCACCGCAAAGACGTACTCAGGCCAGTACCACTCTTTGAGTGAGATTCCCGGACTATTCTGGAGAGGGTTTGGGGATGTTTTTGGTGTAGGGCTTTACCCACCCCTGTGACAACTCCTACGACCTGAGGCTCAGTTTTGTAGCTCACGATCTTAGGGATTGAAATGTTCGAGCGTGTTTAGGAATTCAAAAACAGACCTTAACATAGCATGAATTAGTTTCCGCGCACCTATCTTTCTCAACGGAAAGTGGAAAGAACACATCCTTTAAGGCTCCCCTTGGCAGCCTTGTGGACGTTACACACTCTCCATGCAACCTTGCCAGCTCCTAAATACGCTGGAAATGTTGGTCAATTCCCCCTTGCAGTAAGTGTCTTTGAGGAGCTCTCCTGAAGGGGCTATTAAAAATCTTATTGCCCACTGTGGTAGCTGTTACTGTAAGGGGGAACGACCGAAACAAAAAAACACACTCTAAACCCTAAATACCCTAGATACTCCACACCCTAAATACCTTAAACCCTAACTGGACCCAAAGCCTTAGACCGGGCCCCAGACTCTTACCCGTGGACCTTTTGAAGCCTACTTTAGACCCAAATGACAGCCGGCTGTTGGACCCTGTAGTGTCAATCTTTATGCAGACTTTTAAGTAAGGCTTAGGATTTAGGGTTTAGGGGTTGGGATTTACGGCTTTAGGGCTTAGGATTTTGGGTTTAGGTTGTTTCAGAAACTGGCTTGGCCTTTGGGATATTTGAAAATTTCCCCTTATTAGTTTCATGAGGACTCTTTATGCTGACATTGCTCAAAAGGCTCGAAAAGCCAACCAAAATAATACCCTTGCATCTCGTAAGCCCGAGTGCCTGGTTTTACGTACAGTTTAGGGTTTAGGATTCACCGTCGATGGCCAATACACTCCTGAAATTCCAAAGCGTTTATATATACATACATATATATATATAACATGGATTCTCAGTCCCATGAAAGTGGAAATGGAAACATAGTGTGCATATATATATTATGTAGATATCTAGGGGTTATACATGGACATTATCCCCTCATTCCCTACTAAACACCATTAAATAAAGACGACTCAGGATCATTCTTGGTGTGTTGGTCATGACCGCATTTGACACCCTCTTGGGCGACGCGCCCTCGTCAGTGAAGGCCAAGGATCACCTCAAGGAAGCTGTCACCAAGTTCCAGGAGGTGTCTGGGTTTTTGGATTTGTGGGTTTAGGGTTGAGGGTTTTCTGTGCCAGAGTAGGGAGTTAGTGTACTTTTGACAAGCTTTTTGCGTTTACTCTTTAGGCTTCGATGTTTTGGCTTTCGGTTTTTGTTCCCAAAACCCCAAACGCTGTTCCAGTATGCGGTTTCAGGTTTGGGGTTCAGGGTTTGCGGGCAATCTGCGGCGCAGACCTGATGCCATCCCAGGCCGTTGTTTGCCTGGGTTGCTGCCAAGGAATTTAAGGGTTCAGGGCTTAGTGTTTAGGGAGGGCTTAGGGTTTAGGGTTTAAGGAGGATTTAGGGCGTAGGTAGGGTTTAGGGTTTAGGAAATTAAGCTACTACATGGATTTCGAAGAAGGAAACCCTAGTATTTGCTATCTACCCATATTCTGGTAACTGAGCTTAAGTTCACTAGTAGCAAGTCAGTTTCTTTTGTAGGGGGTTTACTGTGGCGGGTACCGTTCTGCAAGCCAAGGCTTACATTAAGGATTTTAATCTTTGCGGGGTAAGAAGTCCCAGATGAGCTATAATAGTCTAAGCTCCTTAAAGGGGATTATATAGGGGAGTAGTGCAGGGGTTGTTAAGGGGGATGTTAGGAGTCTAGACGATGCAAACAAGGTTTTCGCAGGGTATCAGGCGGGGATGTTTTTGCAAATACCCTTAGATGTTACCCTGAAAGGGCTTTTCAGGAGGGGTGTGGGGGAGCTTATGTTAGCATATGTCAATGGGTGCCAAGGGCACCTACGGATCATGAGGGTCATATGCGACTTTGGCACCGCCTCGCCTTCTTAACTTCCAAAAGTTGTCTGCGTCCAGGTGTAACCCTAAACCCTAAACCGTGGCCAGGTGTATACGGGCTACTTCTCCAACAAGCTCCACCATGAGGATTTGCATGCCGAAATTGCCATCGTGCAAGGCGAGCTTGCAAAGGCGAAGGATTTGGCACACAACGCTGCGCCTGGGCTGAAGATGCAAGTGGTTGCTGTTTTTTGGAAATACAGTACTCGTTTCCACGTCTTTAAGCTATCCCGAATGGAAGTTTGAGCATTGAGCAATGAAGTCCTCCAAGCTATGTCTAAACTCTAAACCTTACACTCTGAATCCTTTACCTCTCGCACCTGAAGCCTTTTAGGCCCTAAAATCCTGAACCGCAAGCCCGTAGAACTAGCCCAGACATTTAAGTAATCCGTGCACAACCCGCATATTCAGCTATACTCCAAACACATAAAAGGGGTGATATAGGGGATTATAGGGGATACTAAGAGTTTAGACTATGGCTCATATACAGTGCCACTTTAGTCGGCGCTAAACCCTAAATCTAGTCAATTGTTAGCCCTACAGTCACCTCCTTGATCCTAGATTCTACCAGACCTACCAAATACCTAGAATAGCCTTCAGACCCGCGAAGTGGAGTAAAAATCCGGCATTATGGGTATTCCCATACCCTAAACCCTACACCCTACACCAGTATCGTGGGTAGTTTTTGGAGTTTGAGGGACACTCAAAAGGCCCCGGCAGTCGTAGCTAGACATTTGGCCGAGGTTTGGTGTTTTCAGGTTTACCTCCAACTCCGGAAAAGGGGGCTGTATAGGGGATGAAAATGCAGAGTTGCACTGTAAGGGTTTTTAAGGAGTTTAGTTCAGGTTACTCTGGGGGAAGGATTTGTGGTTTGTTTTGGGTGCTGCTTTGCAGCATTGGAAGTGTGAAGGTTTCTACGACCAAGAGTTCCCGCTACATACCCTCGAATTTTAGGGTTTAGGGTTGAATCCTCCCCGCGCACAATGTAGAAGACGAAATAAGTGCCCACATTTTCTGCCGAGATTATCCTTTTGTAGTTTACACTTCATAGTAACCTCCCAAATTCTGCTAGTTCATGACATGAGTCTTCTACATCGCTACATTTGGGTAGAGCCTAACTCCCGGAACCTTACATGGCCGCCTACAACCCTATTCTAGGACCCTAGGACCTTAAAGCCTATAGTCCCCTTTAAGCGGGTAGAATACCGGGTATATGGGGATCTTATTATAGTATACCCAAGGCCATATTCTATCTACTTAAGGGGGACTATAATCCCTACACCTTAGCTAGTCCTGAAGCCCCAGACTCAACCCCAAAACCCCAAACCCTAAACGCCAACAAAAAGGTGCTTGAGCCGCGCTTTTGGCGCGAGACCTTTGCCTCGAATCTCTATTCATCGATCCTGAGCGGCAATTTGGGAGATTGCTTTAGGGTTTTAGGGTTTTGTTTAAAGGGCTTCGTGGTTTCACTAAGAGATCAGCATTAAGGGGTTTCAGGTTGAGATGATTTGTTTTAGGGACGTTCGGTGTATGTATATGTATATACATATACTCATATGTATATATATATATATGGGGGCGGAGGGGCGGGTAGCATTAGGCGGCCTAGTGAGTTAAAATAAACCTTACGATATAGTTCTATGATATGAGGGGATAGAAATGGTAACGATGCAAACTTTAGAAATCTCCGTTTAAGAGCTTCTCTGAATTTCAAAGAGCCTATTCTCACCGGGTTTGCCTTCACATGAGTCCCCGCAAACCCTTTTCTTTGACCCTAGGGAGCAGGTTGGTTTGGCTGGTGGTTAGTAGGGAGCGCATGAGGATTGGATCTCTACTGTACTTCTTGTATTCTAGAACTGCCACATAATGATCCCTGCATTCCACTCCTTCAATTTCTACCGGCCACCAGTACTTGAGGAAAACCTAAACCCTGAATTTATTGCTAGCTTTGTCCGTGAAAAAAGGGCCGTAGGACTGCGGATGTAGGGCTAAGGGGTTGGATCCGAAGGGTCCGCGGTTTAGGGTTTAGGGTAGGTTTCTGTGGTATATACTTAGCGCCCATAGGGTTTCCCACAGGGGACTACTATAGGGAGTATTAAGGGGGATACTAGGAGTTTAGCTATATGGACTCTTTGGGAGGATTATCAGCTCCGACGAGACGTTCTGCGCAGAGATGCTGAAGATGAACCGGGTTCTGGAGGATGACAAAGACCTCCTCCTGGACAGCTTGCCGTCCTTTAAAGGGGACTATTAGGATTTAGGGTTCAGGGTTTAGGGTTTAGGGTTTTGAGGGTTTTAAGGTTTCGGTGTAGGGTATGATTAAAAGGGACTATTAATGGGAACCCCATAGGATGAGCCCCCAAGCATACAGTAGGAATGTAAACCCTAAAACCCTAAACTTTAGGGTTTAGGGTTTAGGGTCAGGGGTTAGATGGAGGCTTCATGCTCAAAACAAGTGCCACTGATGTTGCTACAACCGTAGTCTTTCGAGAAACCCATTACAGGTGGGGATTTTTTGTGTGGCCAGTATCCCATGATCTTTCTAGACCCTGATCCCTAACACTCCCTTACTGTACCCGGTCTTATAGAAGTCCTGAAGGGGACGGCTACGAGGACTACCAACTCTGTAGCTAACGACCTGGATTGCTCATCATTCGGGAGTTTAGGTTCAAGTTCAGGGTTTAGAGTTTACGGGAATATCTTCTCCCTTTGCTTGCGGTCTGTTTAAGAGGAATACAATCTTACTCAGCGGCTTCAGAGTTGTCATGCTAGGGTTGTACCCCTGGGTTTGCGGATCCTTTTAAGGGACCCTAGGGGCCTTCATCAGGGCTATATGAAAGCCGTATTGGGGAAGTTTTTGGGGGGTTACCAGTACAAATATGTAAACTACAGTCTAAACTTCTTACAGGGTCTTACATAGGGGACTATTAGAAGGGGATCTTAAGGGGGATACTAGGGGTACGAGCGCCAAAGAACCACTCCTCTTGCCGAGGCTTGCCCTCCTTCGTCCAGGTGAAGCTGGGTTGCTGTTAAGGAATTTAATTTCAGTCATTATACTACTGGGTATAGGGTCGAGGGTATAGGTTTAGGGTGTGGGGTTTAGGGCTTAAGGAACTTAATTTAAGTTACTATAGTATACCCATATAATGGAGAATCAAATGGAAAAGACAACGGACAATTGAAAGGAAACTGGGGGAAATATAGGGATTTAAGGGATTTACTTCAAGTTACTATATTGGGAAGCCATATTATGCACTAGGTATACCCATTATGCTACTTCTGTCTAAGTTAACAGCAACCCAGGAAGAGGGAGATGTTCAACGTCGTGGACAAGACCACAGAGCCTTGGTTCTGAAGCGTTTTGTTCGTCATAACTTACCCTAAGGGTCCAAGGACCCAAATAACAGGGTTTTAGGGCCCAAATACCATTCATACTATAGTATTTGGGCCCTAA